CACATGCACTGAACTAGGCATATTACTGGATAAATGCATTAGGGCAAAGTAGCTTGAGTCATCCATGGACAAACAGTCATGTGTCCACCAGTCCAAGCAGAGCACCTCTGCACTGTTCCAAACCACACACTAACAGAAACATCAAGAAACTCAAGTTTGTTCAGGGAACATCTCTAATTTTCAAACCATGCTTTAAGAATAAGGGGTAAGAACATAGGAATGCTTGATCTGTGAGGGGAAAAAAAACCTAGGCTTAGAACTGATGGCCAATTTTTTGAAGACTGTCATATTTGAAAAGAATGACTTGCTGTCATCCAGAATTAGACTTAACAAAAAAGTAGCAAAGTGGCAACTACTTTTGAAGTGACAAAACTTGAGTATTTTAGTATTAACCAATCGTATAATATTAGAAATGGTATGTGATGTCTCTGGGTATCAGTTATTTTGCATGTAAAATGGATACCGAAATAAATAAATTCCAAGGTAATTTCCAAATTTAAAAAGGCATAGCTGTTATTTTGTGGGGCTTCTATGTACAGTATTATCCACAAATAATTTAACATCTTCCTTTCCTTTTATTTCTATTGGCTAATTGCTTCAGCAAATGTTTCTAGAACTATATTGAATAAGAGTGGCAACAGTGGACAACCTTGTCTTGTTTCTAATTTTAGAGTGAAAACTTTATTTCTGTCCATTTACTATGATACTGGCTTGCTCGTTCGTTCGTCATACCTGGTTTTCACCAGATTGAGACAGACCATCTATTCCAATTTTCTGTAGTTTTTATCATGAATGGATGTTGTACTTTGTCAAATGCTTTGTCTGCATCTATTGATATGATCATATGGTTTCTGTCCTTGACTGTTACAGTGTATTACATTTATTGATTTGCAAATACTGAATCATTCTTGCATCCCTAGGATGAGTCCTATTTCTACATTTAATAACCAAATTTAGTAGCATAGCTGGATACAAAGTCAACCATCAATAGTCAAAAGCCTTCCTATCATGAATAACAAACTGAGTGAGAAAGAAACCAGAGAAACAACACCCTTCATAACAGCATCCCAAACAATGAAATACCTAGGAATCAAAAGAATGTAAAAGACCTTTATACTAAAAACTACAGTACTGTGAAAAAGGAGATTGATGAGGCTATCAGAAAATGGAAAGATATCCCCTGCTCTTGGTTTGGAATACAGTGAAAACAGCCACACTTCCAAAACTGTTGAACAGATTTAATGCAACTGTGATCAAAATACAGATTAGAAGATGCACAAACAACTCCAGACATTTAGCCACCTTATCTTTAAGAAGGTGCCAAACATTTTCACCATAAGAAAGGCAGCCTCTTTAATAAACAGTCTGGGAAAACTAGCTTCCCACATGCTGAAGATTAAAACTAGACCCGTACGTATCTTTCACCATGCACTAAACTAAAATCAAAGTGGATCAAAGATATAAATATTAAAACAGAAACAATAAATCTGCTAGAAAATAGAAACTGTCAGCCGTTCCTCAAAGGATTACCATCCAGAAAATATAAAAATCTAAAAAAAAAAAGAAAATCAGACCCTCCAAACTGAAAGACCCAATCCAAAAATGGTCATCTGAAATAAGACACTTTTCTGATTAAGTAGAAACAGCAAATATATGAAGAAAATGTTCAACATCACTGGTCATTTGAGAAATGTAAACTAATATATTCCAGCTCACCTCAGAAAGAATGACTATCACAAGAAATCAACCAGTAACAAATGCTGGTGGAGCTGTGGGGAAAAATGAACCCTTTACTGTAGTGGGATTGCAGACTTGCACAACCACTGGGGAAATCAAGTGTGGAGATTCCTCAAAAAACTAAAATTTGAGGTTCTATTTGATCCAGGTATTCCCCTTTTGGTATCTTCCTAAGAAATTAAAAGCAACATACTACAGTGATATATCTGCACTTCTGTCTATAACAGCACACTGTAATAGCCAAATCTAGGAAAAAGCCAAAGTGCCCATCAATTGCCAAGTGGATAAAGAAGTGGACTATGCCAGAAAGAAAAAGTAAACTTGAAATATTTCTTAATAGTAGTTAGAGGAATAGAAATAAATACTTTAATGAAAGAGAAAAAAAAAAGAAATATTTCTTAATAGAGGGATACACCTGGATGCCATACTTTTTAAACTTTCCTATACACTGGACACGTGTGTAATACCACACGATTTCTCTGGTGTCAGAAACCAAAAGTGTAATTCAGGACCAAAACATATAACAGATTTTGGAAAACAGGAAGAAAATTTTGAAATGGGAAGGGCAAAGGAAAAAAGGAAAACAAAGCTTTTGCAAATAAGGAGAACAGAGGCTGAAGGGAGGGTAGGCAAATGGGAAAAAAAAAATCAAGTTACAATATGCACAAATTCCATATGATGAATGTGATCATTATGTGTATCTAAAATGTACTGATAATTAGAAAAATAAAAAATACAAATAAAATAAAAAGGCGTAAGAGCAAATTCTGGATCAACTTCTTCCCATTAGACCATCCTGAATAAGGAAAAACCTACCTCATAAAATGATGAGCTGATTCACTAATTCACAACATTATTCTTCTGTTTTACATAAAGGGGATGGTAAAAGCCAAATGTCCACCAGCTGGACTTCTTACAAAAAGAACTTATACATGGTATAAGATTATTGTGTTTTGTGTGACCATGCATTGAATAAATTATACTACAATTTTAATTCTAGTGTACTTTCCTATTTCATTCATATTAAATGCTGCCATTTCCTTTATCTTTAGATAAACTCAGAATTATACTAACTCAATATTCCTTACAGAATTAACAATATTAACTTTCACATTTCAATGATACATACACTAACCAACATAATTTCTTAGTGTGGGAAATAAGGGTTCCCAAGTTAGTATAAATATTATAAAATTCCTTAGTTTCTCATACAAAATAAAAATTAGTTAAGAAACTATTTTCCAAGCCCCAGATATCATTTAATAGCAACAAGTATACATAGCCAAAATGAATCCAAGCAATACTTTTTTTTACAGACTACGTACTCAGCTTTCATGCAAAGTATAGTACTTCATTTCTCAGGGCTTAGGAAACATTACATTAAAAATAATCACAGACCCTTTAAAAAAGCACAGGTAGAAGATGCTTTGTAATATCAAAGGCTATGGACACACAAAGAGTACAATGCCCATGAATATTTTTAAATGTACTCTAAATGGGCAAAACCATTTGTGGTTTATCCATTTCTAATCTCTGTAAGTTTTAAGAAAGATTATTTTTATAATTCTACATCAGTCTAAAAATACAAGCTTGTCTTTGTTCACTGTGTTATCAGACATTATGTTGAACATACTTTGAACACTTTTCTACCTATGCCAGACCTTACCTCTTGAGCAGATATCCCTTATTTCTGAAAATTCCGATGCATACTTCAAAGTAATCTAATTCCTCTAGGTAGAGGAACTAGTGGAGAAAAAAACTCCAAAGCAGCTACATATTTATTTTTAAAACATGAATTTTTTCTGTTTCAGGATTAAATTAATATATCTTTTTAATAGACAAAAAACAAGTAACAGTAAAAATAAAGGAATTGCTCAGGACATCTAAGTACTGACTGTGGCTCAACTGTTTCAATACAACAGCATGGAAAACAAAGAATTTGTCCATACAGTTAAATAAGCTATACAGTCAGTATTTTGTAGTCACTTTGCTTGAAACTTTTTTAAAAAGCTACCAAAATTGGGGAAGGAGATTTGTTTCCACACTAAGTAGGTACAGTATAAAAATCTGTTTGGTAATCTAATCAATGATGGTGAAACCATATGCTAATGTTCTTAAACCTTAAAGATACAAGTGTGAGCCAAGTTCAACATTCGGTAATATTTTTATTTTGAAGGCTATTGGTGATGTAAAAAGAAATTACTTATTTAAAACTCTCATTTCACCACTACTGCTGGGATACTTCTGAAGGTTCTGATGTAGGGTATTTTTCACCCCCCACACCCTGCCATTTTGAATACATACAAGAAAGGCTTATATTTTTTATATTCACAAAAAATATAGCTTCTTGCTGAAGTATATTATCTGTAATCTTTCTAATAACTTTAAAAAATAAGTTTGTCCACAGAATCTTTAATTCTTTTATAAACTTACCAGATTAATACTCAAAAATCTGTTTCTTTTCCCTGTTCTCCACTACAGTAACTATCTCAAATCATAATTTCCTTTTTATAATTATCTTTAAGACTACTATTTTAAGAACCAAACTATTTTCATCTTAATTCATATATTGTTACTAATTAATTCAATTTTTATTCCATGTGTAGGACATCTTTATATTTACTTTAAATGTTTAGAGTCCACTTCTTATATAACTTTTCTTCAAATGCAAAAATAAATCCTCTTGCTTCTACCAAGAAAGGGTAAATTGTTTCAGTAGCTTTAATTAAGCTTATGCAGTCATATAGAAAGTCATTAAAATTAAATTTTACCCTTTTCTGTGCTGTATTAATTAAGGTTTAAAGCAAGAGACTCTGAAGTTAAGATTACTCCCTTTAGTTATTTGTTCAAAGAGAACACTAAAACACAAAACACTTTCCTCTTGACAACAACACTGAAGAATTAAGTAGTTCTCCAATCACTGTTATTTCCAAATATTTTTTAAGAAAGATATTTGTAAGAAATTACATTGTGATCTAGCCTTAAAATAGTTAACCAAATTACTCTTGATATTTCTAGTATCAATTCAGTTAATTATTAGTGTTTTTCACTAAAAAAAAAAAAAAACACAGAATAGTATATTCAGAAACACTTCGAGACACATAAAAATACACTTAAATATTATTGCAGTTTTCACTTGCTACTCCTGAAACGAAATAAGTCATTTATCAGTAAGTGCATTTTTTAATGGAGAAAATATTTATTAGTTTTCAAATGATCACATAATACAAATATTACACAATTAGTCATTCTAAAAAAATGAGCTTGTATTAATATTCATAAACACTGAAAAATATAGGGCTGTATATTGTGACAAAATTTTCTTTTAAATCTGAAAAGAAAATGCATCGAAATAAAAGTTTAAACATCAGTTCACATTAATATACAAAAAGTTTCACTTTAAAATAGTTTGCAGTGGCATAAGGTAGAGAGAAATGCACTTACATTTCTTTTGCATACTTTAATGAACAGCTAAAATTTAATTAAAGCATGAGGTTAAGAAATTAAATCACCTTTATCTTCAAAGCTCAAAGAGCTAGTAATGTTACAGGCCATAAAATGGTTTGTACTGAACCACAGTTAAAAAATTCAACTAACTTAATTTCTAAGCAAATTTCACTTTCAATTCCCTAGTTCTAAAATCGTAGGGGTTTTTTGTTTTTATTTTTTTTAAAGTAAGATGTGATTGCAAACCAATTATCTTATTTACTAAAATAACTCAAAGTTATATTATTAATAGGAATTCAGAGCTCAAGGGAAATTTTAATTCCAATGGATCTTTTAAATTTAGCTTTAAATACAATATTTATGAAAATTTTTCTATACTTAATGAGGAAAAAAAACAGTTTCAAAGAAAAACTAAAGGGCAGGTTATATTTTAGGAAATGTGTTTTCTTAAATTGGACTCCCAAAAATTTTAGCTGTTTCCATATTAGTAATTCTAGAATTTCTCTTCAATTTTGTAAAAGACATCACAAACTGACAGCACCTAGTGATTTTTAAAAATTTCTTTAATAGTTTTGGACTGACCAATTAATAGGTACCAAAGAAAGATACAAACATTCTGATAACTACGTTTTATCATTAACTAACAGTTGGGATAAAACTAGTTCGCAACACTCCGATCTATAGGCCTATGCTAATACTATGAACTGCCTTTGCCCTATAATTGTTCTATTAGTATCAACTTAAAACTTTAGTATACTTTCCATTAAGAATACTTCAAGTTTAACAGATATTTTTTTCATGTAGAAAATAGTTAAAATTACTTAGTCTCAAAGATGTCTCTTCTACTTCTAGCCTACAATCTTTGTTGATTTAGACAATTACAGGTAGGTTCAAGAGCAGCAAAAGATGAACTAAAGGAATATATCTTAAAAGTCTTAAATAATTTAAAAATTTCACCCTTTATTTACCAGCTCCCCTCAGCATCAGGTAAACCAAAAAAAAAAAAAAAAAACTTTATTTTTTTAGATCTCCTACAGTAATTTTTAAAAAATCTGCCTACTACTTAAGCTGATTTTCAGTCCCACAAATCTTTTAAGTGAAACAGATACAGAGAGCTGCTTTAAAAGAAAGGAGTCTCTCCAGCTTCCTCTATTTCAGTCTTCTGAATAGAAAGGAATGTTTTCATGGCCATGTAAATTCCAATCTGGAAAGATTATTTCATTATTTGAGCCTTTCCATTTTCAGACCAATAGTAAATCTTAAAAGTTTATAAATAACAAGATCAGGTGGCTGGCTCATTCTTGTGTCTTCTATACATATTGCATGGATCCATTCACCACTGCCTTCCAAACTGCAGATGCTGGCATGTGTGACAGATATCATCCATGAAGGCTCTGCTAGAAGAATTCCTTTTGCTGAAGAAGTATGATGTTTTACCAGTTGAAAGAAATCTGGGCAATTAGAGAACAATTAAACCGGTCTCCCATTATCAAGACACCTGGAGTCACAGAAGGAATCCACCAAGGAAAAATGAAAACTTGCCAAAAGCACCAAAGTTCACATCCTACCCATTGTAGATGATAAGAACTTCCTGGAATCAAATCCTACCCTTGGCATCAAAAAAACTAAGAGAAAACTATCTTAATGCCATGGGAAAAATCCAGCAAAAGGCTATTTCGCCACAATAATACTCCTAGGAACTAGAAAACTTCTTTTGAGTATATTAAACATAGCTTTCAAGGATATTATATCCTGAAACTTATACTCATTTATACTTATTAAAGAATGAAGCCTAGATTTGACAGTAAAACCGTAACAATACTACTATCATTGCATAGTCTGGAAGATCTAATATGAAAGCCTAATATTTGAGGTAGGAAAAAGACCAAAAAGTTCTCACTAATAGGGTAGGATAACATCTGGACATCTACTATATAAATTAAAGAGATTTCAGATGTCCACCTTGGCAAAAGATGAATACAGAAATTTTCAAATTACTAGAATGTAAGAGCACTTAGAAGTCCACTATTACCATAAAGGCCAAAATGGGTAAATATTCTCTTTTAAAATTTCTGTGGACTATACAAGTATCCATCCAATCATGTGCCCCAAATCATCCTTTAATTATCTGGAGAGAAAATTAAATAAAATTTAGATTTCTTGAATGGGCACTTGTTAGCACTCTCAGAAAAACAAACAGATTGTGGCCCCACCTGGTTCTTATATGAACCCATGGAGTTTACCAATAGAATAAAATGGGCAATGGAAGGACACTCCAATCTAAAAATAAACCCAAGTAAATAATGGAAAGCACCCACTTGTTTATTATCCTTTCCCTCTCTCTCCAGAAGCTGGATATTCTGTCTCCAAGGGTTCAGTGGAGAAAGTGGACCCCTGACGTCAAAAGCTCTCCGTGGTCTTGGCTGTATCTGTGGTTCTAGGATCACTCCTTGCACCTCTGGTAGGAGAGAAGCACTGAAATAGAGAGCTGAATATAGATTTAAGAAAAAATTCTTATTAAGAAATTACAATCTCTGGTCATTTGAGTTTGTAATGGCTTATCCTCAGGACAAAAAGGAGCTATCTTTGGACATATTTTATCACCTTCTTAATTTGAATTTTGTAAGTCTGTCACCACAAATGATTAAGTCCTCAATAACTATTAAGAAGGGACTTGTACTGGTCTAAGCCATAACACACTCTGTGACAAACCACTCAACTTCAAGTGGAAGACAAAAGCAAAAAAATCAATAGTTATGACTAGAAGGTAAGACCACAGTTGTCTTAAAAGGACAGGGAAAAGGCACACAACCTCAGATATATCAAAGGAGTCCCAGTTAATTCTTCTGCCAAAGAGAATAAGATGGATTGAAAAGTAGAAACAGAATAATCAAGCATATTAACAGGGATACCACTAAACTTTTGGAATACCTCAGAAGCTGAATTTGTTATTGGTTTTCAAGGGTTCAGTAACTTAAAGAATTACATACTCAAGGTCAATATTATAGCAATAAAAGGCTAAACCCACATTTTATCAAAGCAATGATCACTGTCACTAAAACAGGTCTATTCTTCAAGTATTCATCTTTAAAACTGGGCGGGGGGGGGCGCAGAATACTGGATATAGGCAATATAGATTCAAAATCTTTTTTAAATGTATGATCATTTTGTTCTGGGTCAAGATGGGCTAGGAATAATCATAAATGGCCACAATGCAGAAATTAAAGTTATTAAGATATACCAAAATAATAGATGATGGTAAAGACATCAGAAAATAGTTAGTTTTATTATAGGAAAAGGTACACAGAGAGAAGGAAGTTCAAAGCATATAGCATCAAGGAAAAGCTGAAAGGAGAATAAGATAAACAGACATGTACTTAAAATTATAGGGATTGCAGGATAAATCTCAATGTTGACTCTGGAAAAAGAATTAACTATTCTTTGTGGTCCAGAGTGATATACATCTCTATAAAATTTCAGACCTCACTCTAAATACAAAGGTGCTGCATATCCCTCCTCTATAGAACAAGTCAGTCACAGTGGAATAAGGCAATCCCCCATGTCTTACTTCTGGGACATGTTATATTTTGTGAAATACTTAGGAAAAAAATGCTACCACATAATCTCCCACTCACACCAACTGGTTATCACAAGTTTTCCTTACCTGTTAGTGGAACGAGGATTGTGCTCTCTTGTTCTCTATCAATCAACCAACAAAGGTTATAGTCTCAGCACTAAGAAAGTAGCAACCAACCAAAGTTAGTGTTTTAATGCTTTCACTTCCTCTGGCTCTGGCAGCCAGTTTGGAAAGATATCCAAAGCTGAAAAGGAATGATTATTCCATTATCTGACAACATTTACACTAAACTTCTTAAAAGCCTAAAGATGAAAAGAATTAGCTAACTCTTCTGCTTAGGAACACAGCCAACTCTATACAACTGAGAACTGAAAACAGTTTGGCCTAAGAAAAGAAAATCTGTGAATTTAAACTATCAAATCTGTGATTCCCAAACATTAAAAGAAAAAACTGAAAAAGGAAATCTGAAATCAAAGTCACGAAGGTGTAATTGCCATCTAGGCAAGAGGTATCAAATAGGCAACTATGAAAGTACAGCATGAGTCTAAGCGACAGCTCTTTTTTAATTTAAAGTCCCTAACACATTTAAATTCTCAAAAGTTCTTTTAATTTTAAGTTCTAAAAAGGTCTTTTAATTTTAAGAAAACTAAATTTTTACATCAGTGGGTTTAAAAAGTATTTTTAAGTACTATCTATCACACTGAGTAGCTAGATAAGCAATGACAAGAAGAAAAGGCACAAATCAGAAAAAAAGATTTGAATACTGAGTATCTTAAGAAATGCCATCTAATTAGATAGTTTCAAGAATCCCAATCCCCGAAGAGATTAGCAAAGCACTCCACACCAATTATTTAGGGATGGCTCTTTCACAGGTAAGAAATATTTAGAAATTAATGTATTAGAGCTACTTTACACACATGTCTTTTTATCTATATGGTGCAAATACCTGCTACAACAATGCTTTTTAAATTATTACACAATCATCTTTTGGTCTTTATAATCAATTTTTTTGACAAACCATTCCTTTTCATCTACAGTATTTCAATATAAACCACAAAAATTACTTAAGATTTTCAAATTAATGCTAAGTAAAACTACAGTGATTAAAATAGTTAAAAACCTACTCAGAAATTATAAACAAAATGTGACTCTCCCAACTTCCCAGTTTTATTCCAGTTCTTAGACATCAGTAGTAACATATAGCTGAGTGGAAAAACAGAGGCAAAAAGAAAAAAGCCCATTTTGAAACAGAAACATACCAAATAATGTTTTTTTCAAAATTTACAAAGCTTTTGAAGTTTGCATTTTGATGATCAAACAGAACTCTCAAGAAATCCTATCATGTGCAGATTAATACTAAACTAACTTCACAACTTCTCCATCAGCATGAACCTCCAAAACCTTTGATTTATCACACCCTACAGAATATATTTTTAAAAAAGACCACTTTTTAAAAAGAAAATAGTTCTTACATTAAATTACAGGGCATGTTAAATAGGAGAGTAGACTAGAGAAATGATCTGTTTATAAATGTCTTCCACAATAGATCACTTGGGGATTGTAACTTCTTTATTCTGTTATCAAAACTTCAACATATGTATTACTCAAAAATGAATAAACACAGATTTCTCTAGTATTTTTTTTAGATCAGTGGAAAAAGCATTTGTGTTGCTTCAAGAGTTAATAATGTATGAAGACCCTAAAGGAAAAATGTATCATTTATACAGAAAAATGTACAGGTCACATTTTTAAATGTGGTCATTACTCGAACAAGAAAGAACTTGTTTGAGAAAGAAATTCTTTCTTAGAATACCATTAAGAGAGGTGTACGAATGATACAACAGGACCTTAGCAAATTCTATTTTAATAGAAACACATTTTTCCCTGAGGTATCTTAAACAGAAAAAATAAGCATTCTACTTTAGGATGTTCCAAACCAAAGCCAATAAAGCCAGCAATGACAACATATTCTTTCAAGCAGGTGTGGGTGTTACAGGTCTATTAATCTACCACTATATCAATAAAATCATTTAAACACTTTCCACAAATACAATTTTTAAAGATCTTACTGAACATCAGAAACAAAGGTAAGTAGTAAAACCACTGAAAAGGGCTGGGGAGATAGCTCAGTAGAATAAGCACTTGCCTGGCAAGCGCAAGGGCCTGAGTTTAATCCCCAGTTCCAAAAAAAAAAAAAAAAAAAAAAACACTGAGAAATTCTTCTGCGATAGATATTAGACTACCTGCAATATTTGTTCTCAATACTAAATTATTAAATGAGCACATATAATTTACTAGTTTTTTTCTAATATCAAAATAAAGTGAGGGCTGGGGAGAGAGCTCAACAGCATAAGCATCTGTCTGGCAAGTGCAAGGTCCTGAGTTCATCCCCAATACCACAAAAAGGGAAGGAGGGAGGGAGAGAGGGGGAGAGGGAAAGGGAGAGAAAGAGAGGGAAAAGGGGAGAGGGGGAGGGGAGAGAGAAGAGAGGGAGGGGGAAAGAGAGAGAAAACAGAGGAAGAAGTATATGTTTAAGCAATAAAATAAGTAACCATTTTACAAAGACCATAATTTTGTGCTTCAATTGATCTAATCTTAAACCTGCTAATTTCTAAATACATGGAATACTCAGAAAACACAACATTGTACGAGTTTGAAGCATGACGTAACACCTTTTTCTTGTACTTCATCATGCATTGTTACCAGTTCTAAGACATTTGTATAAAACCAATTCTTTCAAAAATTCCTCTAAAGTGTTACAAACAGTCCCAGCTGGCAGTAAGAAAAAAAGTAAAGAATACCTTTCACAAAAGCAGTCTTTGTATCTCTATCCCCTAGAAAAGTGTTTGGCACAGAGTAGACAATTCAGCAAATATTTCATGATCTCTTTTGGAGATCATCACTTGCATGATTTTTTTAATATGGTCAGCAGAAACGTCAAAGGTATTATCCTGAGATAATACGAAGAAAGTCAAATCACAACACCTAACATAGATGTTCTAGTGTTCTTTTCAGAGACTTAAAGTGGCATCAGATTATTGCCAGAACTCCAAATTCTCAATTTTAAAAACTGAGCGTCGGAGATATAGCTCAGTGGCACAGGACCTGCCTCCATAAATTATTACCAACTGCAAAAAATGGGTATCAAGCACAAGTTCTCGAGTTTGATACCCAATACTAAAAAAGGGAAAGTACAGAATTTTGTCCTCAAATGCAACTACTTTTAAAGTAGTCACACACAGTATTATACATTGACTCTGTAGAAAAGTTTCTAAATCACAGATCTTACATGTTTCTTAAATGAAATACACCTTTTTAAACAAGCAAACTGACACCATTATGAAACCCACTTAATCATGGAAAACAATTTCCTAAAAGAAAAGTTGTAATGAAAATAGAAAACCTAACAAGAAGAATATTTAAGGGCTCAATATGTAATCAAATTTCATTATAAATATATGTTTTTCTCGTTTTGGAAAAGTTATCAGCCAAAAATTTTACTGAGATTCAAATTATCACACTAGATTTAAAAGTCAAGTTTAGTTAAAAGATAAACAATAGATAACTAAGCCAAATGTGTATTCATGTTCTACTAAGGTACACAATGAAGTAGAACAGATGAAAAAGAATTTACCATAAAAGGCATTTTTCAAGTAATTAATCCACTACACAAGATAAAAGCAGTAACTAAAAATGTATCTCTATAAATTATTACCAACTGCAAAAAATGGGTAAAAATGCAACCGCAGTGAAGACCAAGCACAGAAGTTCTTAAAACTGCCTGATTCTTCTGAATGAAAAAATGTTCATTTGACAAAAATAGTAGGAACAATGTTAAGAGAATCTCTAATTTACTGACAATACAGTATTTTTCATAATGAGCCTGTATCATAACATT